AGCAAGAGAGCTGAGCGCCTTTGGGCTGAGGCTTGCTGGAAGAGTGGGGGTGCCCTCAGGCACTTATTGGCAGAGCTAAATTGTTTTTCAACACTTGACCAAGCAGGGCAGAGGCTGGACCTAGGGGCTTAGAGGCCAAGGACCAGAGGGAGTCCTCCTTGTGGATATGACTGAGAAGAGACTATCCTGATCAAAGAACTGTATCCTGAGTATTTTCTGATCCAGAATTGTAACCTGTTACAACCCTAATAAACCCCATAGTCGCAAGTATGGTCTGTGAGTTCTATGTGGCCACTGCAATGAATTATTGAACCCAGCAAGGAAGTAGAGAGTGCTGTGGAAAGGATGGTTGGTGTCAGAATTGATAGAGATGGCAGAGAGAGGAGGCATGTCTGATCTCGGCCTCATAGGAATCAGCTTTGGGCTGATGATCTTGACTCTCCTTCCCCCTGGTGAAGTTAGAGGAGGTCAGACACCTCCGCGACACCATTTTTACAGATATTTAAGATCTGGGTGAATGCTAGTTGTGCTCACTGCTACCTGGGTGTCATTGCATCTAGTCCCCCTCAGTAGGAGTAATGACACCCACTAGTAATTAATGGTAGAGCGCATTTCCTAGCAATGTGCTGTAATGACCCAACACACTGCATGTTGTTGTCGTGTTCCTTCAGTCCCTTTTAATCTGGAACATTTCTCAGTGTTTAATTTTACAACAGTGGCATTTTGAAAGAGCCAGAAATGATGTGGTCCTCCTGTCATGCCTGTGGGGCTGAGTTAGGCATCCCAGTGTGACCACCAGCGTCCTCGACAGGGTCACCACCTGCTGCTCAGTGTGCTCCCGGGGGTCAAGGCCTATTTTTGATTCTCCAGAAAGGCAAGGGGCATAGGTACAAGGTGTAGGGCACAGGTGGGCAGTGGGCAATCTCATGGACAGGACCATGTGACAACAGAGGCAGAGGTTGGAATAATGCATTTACAAACCATGGAATGCCAAGGACAGCTGGAAACACCAGAATCTAAGAGAAAGGAACAAGACAGATTCTGCCCTGGAGACTTCAGGGAGAGCATGGTCCTGCTGACACTGATTTCAGACTTCCAGCCTCCAGAACTGTGAGAATAGAAGAGAAAGGAAAAGAGACAATGAGCTCTGACAAGGTAAGAAGAAGTAAGGGGAGAGGGCACCCATAGGGAGACTGAGAAGGAATGGCCCAAGAGGCAGGAGAAAAACTGGAGAGTACGGCATCTTAGAAGCCAGGGGAGGACAGTTTCTAGAAAGATGGACTCGCCACCTGTGCCCAGTGCTGCTATATTAGTCAGCAGCTACAAGGGTGGCTGTTGTACCAGACAGACCCAGAATACAATGCATTGGCTAGGACAGAAGTCTACTTCTCTCTCACATAACAGTCCAGAGGCAGGGGGTGGTCCCAGAGGGCAGATGGAGGGAATCCGTGAGGTACTCCAGAGGTCCTGGCTGAGGGAGGTGTGTGCTGTCCTTGACAGGTCTTCCACCTCCAGACCCAAGGCAGCTGTTTCAGTTGTCCTCAAGGAAAGGGGCAAGTGGCTTTGCCGTTAAGGAGGTGGCCTGGGAGCTGCCCAGTCACATGAGCTGCCTGTCACATCCTAGTGGCCTGAACTCCATCACATGGCCACATCTAGCAGCAAAGAGGACAGGAAATGTCTCTAGCTAGGCACCACATGAACAGCTAAAACAGTGGGGGTGGGAGGATGAGTTCCATTAATACGAGAGGGAAGGAGAATAGGGCTCCAGGGGCCTAATTTAAAAGGCATTGTTCTAGATGAACTCCTACATCTCTGGCTGGTCTGTCTCCTGGGAATAGTGATCAGGTCACCTTCTCTTGTCTCCTCCTCCCTACCACTCCCCCGCCATGGATGGTCCCAGCTGAGGTATGCAGAGGGTATGAATAGACACAGGTTAAACTCATTTCTCCTGACCAGCCCTGCATCCCCACGTGAGCTCCAGGAGCGCCTGCACAAGAACCACCCCCTTCTGTTCCTCTTTTCTCCCTGCTTTGGCCCAGATCTAGAGGCATAGGGCTCTGAGGTCCAGGGCCTCACCTCAGAATCCTCTAGGGGCAGATGACCCCAGGGGTGGGGCCTGGGAGTCAGTGTGTGCAGCTGTCTGCTCAGAATGGGCAAGGCCGGGGGCTGACGCCCCGTTTTTTGGAGATAGAGGGGAATTCACTCTCATCTAGTTTGAGGTATCAGCCTCAAAGGCTGGAGATGAGTGAGGGTCCTGGTTAGTCCCCCATCATTGAGTCCTTGGAAGACTGTGCGTATGCATGGGTGTGTGAGTGTGTGCATGCAAGTCTGTGTGCATGTGTGCACTAGTGTGTGCACGTGTGTGCATGCACGTGTGTGCGTGCACACTCGTGTTCATGCCCTACCCTTGGGTCTGCTTGTGTGTGTGTGTATGTGTGTGTGCACACTCGTGTTCATGCCCTACCCTTGGGTCTGCTTGTGTGTGTGTGTATGTGTGTGTGCACACTTGTGTTCATGCCCTACCCTTGGGTCTGCTTGTGTGTGTGTGTGTGTGTGTGTGTGTGTGCGTGTGTGCAAGTGTGCACGTGCTTGTTGGAAGTGTGGGTAAATGGTTTATTCAAAACATGTCAGCTGGGCACTGTATTCAGGGCTGGGTCTGGCTGGGTGGCTCAGGGTCGAGATTCAGCCTGTGTTCCTTAAAAGTGGACACCTCTTCCCAAACGACCTTCCTAAAGCATGAACTCTTTCTGGCCAAGTACCTGCTATCTTTTGTATAGACCAGGTGGGTAATGGCTGGACACCCACCTGCTGCCCACTCCTGGGCACAGAGGGAAGCACATTTCTAGCCTCCCTTGCAGTTAGATAAGGACCCGAGACAGAGCTCTGGACAACGAAGGCTTGTGACAGCCATGTGTACGCTTCCAGGCCTGGCCACGAGCATCCCCTGCAGGCCCCTGCTCTCTCTGCTCATCCGCTGGCCAGGATTAACGCAGGAGACACGAAGCGTGGTATGAGGCAGGAGGAAAACTGGAGAGCATGGCATCTTAGAAGCCAGGGGAGGACAGTTTTTAGAAAGATAGACATGCCACCTGGGCCCAGTGCTGCTGGAAGGCAGTGGCTTAGCGGAGAGCCAGTATCCCTGTGAAAAACTTCCATTATGGACTGTGTCTCCCAAAATGTTATGTAGAAGTCCAAACCCCTGTACCTGCAAATACGTCACTGCTTGGAAATAGGGGTTTTCTTCTGTTGTATTAATGAGGTTATACCAGAGAATAGGGTGGATCCTAAACCTAATCCTTCCTGAGTGGTGTGTTATAAAAAGAGCAGAATAGAGATAGATATACATGACAGGTGCATCTACAAGCCCAGGATCTCTGAGGACTGCTGGCCGCTGCTGGAAACTGAAAGAGACAAAGAAGGACCTTCCCCTAGAGTCAATGCCCTGAATTTGAACTTCTAGTCTCCTGAACTGTGAGAAAATGTATTTCTGTTCTTTAAAGCCACCCACTTGTGGTATTTTTGGTTACAGCAGCACTAAGAAATGAAGACAGCCTTCCAGGGAGCAACTGGTCAGACTGTGATGAGAGTGAAGAGTAAACCTTGATTTTGGTAAGCCACTAAATTGGCCCACTATTTGTTACAGCAGCTGGTAAAAATTACCTGGATACATTTTCCATATGTAGATGAATACTTAAAATACCCATGAGAGAGATGGTCATCAGGATGATATCTTGGTGGCTGTTGGGATAGGTTGATGGCGACAACAGAGTTGCCCTTTTGGTATGATGGGGACAGCGTTCATGGCTGCTTGGAGCTAGTGTTAACAACTGTGGTGGGGTGAGGGAGGGAAGGGAGCTGGTGGTGGTGTGTTAAGTGCAGTCTGCTGTGATGGTTGTGACGGAGTGATGTGGATGGCAGTGGAGGAGGTGTGGACGGTGTTAATGGCTGTGGGAACCTGGAGTGGGTGTTGACTGGAGCTGCCTGTGGGGGACAGCAGTGGCCTGGTGAGGGATGGCATCTTGGTTTTGACTGGGGTCGGCGGTGGTGCGTTCAGCATGGCTGGTGCAGGGGTTGATCTTAGTGGGTGGGTGGGGTTGTACATGGCTGTGTGGCAGTGGCCTTGCTTGCAGAGGTTGTGGGCCTGGGACAGGGGCCCTGGGAGGGAAGATGGTGAATTGAATTCCCAATGTTCCCTGGGGCTTTTGCACCTCAGGAAATTCCCATCCTGATCGTGAAGTTTCCTCCCCTCTTGCCTGCCCGCAGAGGAGTCACAGCCCCCAGGGGTAGAGGAGGAAGAGGAGAGAGAAGTCGAAGAAGAGAAACAAGTGACAGAGAAGATGAGAAAGGGTGGGACTATGGGAGAATGGAGGACCAAAGGCCATTGGGGAGAGAACGTGCCCTTTCCAGGCATTGCAGCATTACAAACCTCTCCGCTCCTCCCTGCTGGGGCCTTCAGCCTGTCCTACTCCACTCCCTGCAGCATTGTTAGGACAAGCTTTTGTGGAACTTGGAGGGGGCCACATATTTATATGAAATTGGCTGGGGGCAGCCCAGGGAGAAGCAGGTGCTAGGAGACAGGAGGGCTGAGAACCTGGGTCTCCAGCACCTGGCAGGTCTGGAGTTGGGCTTGGAACACCCAGGGGTTGTAGAATTGGCAGAGTGGGCGGCACGGCTCATTTTACCAAGAACTGAGAGACAGAGATGCCCCAGCTGACATCTGCTTAGGATAAAATGAATCCAGGTTTCCAGAAGAAGAAGTCCCTTGGTGGTGCAAATGGTTAACGGGTTCAGCTACTAACTGAAAGGCTGGCGGTTTAAGTCTACCCAGAGATGCCTGGAAAGAAAGGCCTGGCGATCTATTTCTGAAAGGTCACAGCCATTGAAAACCCTATGGAGCAGTTCTACGCTGACACTCCACTTGGAGTCGCATCGACGGCAACTAGTTTTTGGTTTCAGAAGACGCCAGACTCGGGGGCTGAGAGGAAGAAAAGTCTCTGAGCTTAGATAAGACGGCAGAGCATCTGGTTTATTTTGGGCTACTGGTGGCTGGGTTGACCAGGGCTGGGGGCCCCGGCAGCGGCTGTAGCCTACAGGTGACGGGACAGGGCTCAGTGCCAGGGCCTGGTGGTAATGCACAGCAGGCCCACCAGGAGCACCAGGCCCAGAAGGGCCACGGCGACCAATGCGATGTCCCACCAGGTGCCAGAGGAGGCCCAGGAAGCCTGCAGCTGCCAGCCACAGTTGCCCAGCTCATAGCCAGTCAGCTGGCTGAGTGGGCGGCCGGCGGCTAGGCTGGGGCTGGCACAGAGAACGTAGCCCAGGTCCTCAGGTGCGTGGTCCTCCAGCCAGAGGCGCAGGTAGGTGAGGCTGCAGTCGCAGTGCCAAGGGTTCTGTGCCACATGGAGGGTCTGTAGCTGGGGCAGGTGGTCGAAGGCACCCGGGGGCACCTTGTGCAGGCTGTTGTTGGCCAGCAGGAGGTGGCGAGTGCGGGCGGGCAGGGCGGGCATCTCCGTGAGCCCCTGGCCTGAGCAATCCACCCACAGCCCCATGGTCTCCAGAGAGTGGCAGGCGCACTGTTTGGGGCAGTCTTTGGTGGTCTCCACCACGGCCCAGAGCAGGAACAGGGCCCCCCAGGCAGGCATTGGGCAGCTGGCTGAGGGCAGAGTAATGTGAGGGAGGGCCCAGCAGACTGCACCCACCCTGAAGGCCACAAGCACCAAGCCCTGGGACCAGGACCCACTCACCTTCCTCCTCAGGCCTCAGCTTTCACCTCTGTGAAATGGCGTGGACTGAAGGAAGTGAAGGGTGTGCTCAGCCCAGGGCCTGGCTGACCTCACACTGGGCACCGTGGGCCCACTCTGGCTGTAGGTGGGCGTGGGGGTCAGTAGGGAGGAACTGGATGATGATGGGAGTGGGGAGGCGACAGGGAGGATAGATGTTGTGGGGGAGGGGAGCGAGTTCTTGGGAAGGGACAGGGATGTCCTGGCTCCCTAGCAGAGGTACCAGCCCCTGCTCAGGGCGGGAGACGATTGCTGAATAAGTCCCAGCCCTGAACCCAGAACAGGAAAGGCCTTGGAGAGGACATCTGGAGTCCCTGTTCCCAGCTCCCGAGCCTAAGCCTGGGGTCGGCTTAGATTTCCTAGGTTTGGCAGCTTAGCTTACACCGACCAATCGATGCCACACGTTCTTGGCCAGCTAAGTGCACATTTACTGATGCAGCTGTGGAAAGCCGCATGGCAAGGATGCTGAGGTAGAAAGGAGGGACCCAGAGGGCACTATCTGCAAAGC